CACCCAAGAGATGGAATTGTCAGTTCTGAGCAATTGGACAGAAAGGAACAGTGTCCCCAAAATGCACCACTCTTCCATTTGGAAGGGAGCTGAGGCATGGACACCCCATTTACAAGTCAGGGGTGAGGAAAATGTGGCAGGGGAGCAAGAACGGGATCTCCAGGACTTGTGATTTGTCTGAATGATGATTGGCCCCCAGCTGAGGGTTCACATGCCTTTGACTATGTAGTATAACTCCCTCTTGCCATCATTACATGCAACCATTACAAAAAAGGGGTGGGGAATGTGGTGGTATTGTGTTCCCCAAAATATTGTGCACTCTAATAAACTTGTCTGGGGTCAGAGAACAGAATAGCCACAATATTAAGCATAGAGGTTAGGCAGTGGTAGCACATGCCTTTAATCCTAGCATTCCAGAGGCAGAAATCCATGTGTTCAAGGGTACAGCCAAGCATGGTGACTCACAACTTTAATCCCAGGAAGTAATGACAGAAAGCAGAAAAGTATATAAGGCGTGAAACCAGGTGCTATGGGATGGTCTGTATGTCAAATTGCTCTGATTGGTCAATAAATAAAACACTCATTGGCCAGTGGCTAGGCAGGAAGTATAGGCAGGACTAACAGAGAGGAGAAAAGAAAGAACAGGAAGGCGGAAGGAGTCACTGCCAGCCGCCACTATGACAAGCAGCATGTGAAGACACTGGTAAGCCACGAGCCAAGTGGCAGGGTATAGGTTTATGGAAATGGATTAATTTAAGCTATAAGAACAGTTAGCAAGAAGCCTGCCACGGCCATACAGTTTGTAAGCAATATAAGTCTCTGTGTTTACTTGGTTGGGTCTAAGTAGCTGTGGGACTGGCAGGTGACAGAGATTTGTCCTGACTGTGGGCAAGGAAGGAAAACTCTAGCTACAACCAGGAACAAGGCTGGTTAAGCTTTCAGGTTTTTGTTCAGCTGAAATTCATTCGGGATGAGGATTGAAGGCTTCCAGTCTGAGGAAACAGGATCCACTAAGGAATTGACAAGGTGAGGAAGCTGTGGCTTGTTCTGCTCCTCTGATCTTCCACCATTCACCCTAATAACTGGCCTCAGGTTTGATTTTATTAATAAGTACCTTTAAGATTCATGCTACACATTACCCTCTTTTTAGTTCAAATTTACTGAAAGTCTATGTAGGATTCATCGTTTAAATTATCAAAACCCGAAGCCACCTGAAGCCTGAGGTAAGAAGGCCACAGATGGAAGAGCTGAGGCAAGGGTGTGCATGCAGAAAACTCCAGAATCTGGGAATCTGGGCCAGAGAGAAGGCTAAGTGGGTAAAAGTGCTTGCTGCACAAGCCTGGTGACCTGAGTTCAATCACTGGAACCCAAATAATTAGCTCCTCAAAGTTGTTCTCTATCCCCTACATAGACCACACACACACACACACACACACACACACACACACACACACACACACAAGCACAAGCACACGCACACGCACACGCACACGCACACGCAAATACAAAGCAAAGAATCCTAGAATCCCAGAGCATCTTTTGCATCTGTGTCAGAGACCCCTCAGCTCCAGACATACCTCTTTTCTTCTTTTACATTCATGGATGCTGCACACCATCTTGTGTTTCAGCTTGTGGGAGACCCGGAGAGGCTATTTGATAGGGCTGTTTGAGAATTCTCTAAGGGAAGGCAAAGCAGAAAGTACAAGGCCCTGAAGAAGTGGCCTGGAAACCAAGAAGGCGATCCTGAGACCTAGCAGGACCCACAGAACCAGGAGCAGGTGTGGGAAAGCTGGAGTGGGATGCTAAGAGGATGTGGCAACACAAGCCAGGCTGGTAAGACTGGGCCAGGGATGTGCTCAGAACCAGGCACTCTGCCATCCCACTGGAACCCATGAGAGGAGCTTTTTCCCTCCTGAGATGGAGAGCTAGCATTCTTTTATTTTTTTTTAATTAAATGTCTTCATTTATTTTACATACTGACCAGTTTCCCCTCTCTCCTCTCCTCTTGTTCCCTCTCCCCTGCTGTGGGATGGTCTGTATGTCAAATTGCTCTGATTGGTCAATAAATAAAACACTGATTGGTCAGTGGCCAGGCAGGAAGTAGGTGGGACAAGGAGAGAGGAGAATTCTGGGAAGCGGAAGGCTGAGGCAGGGAGAAACTGCCAGCTGCCACCATGACAAGCAGCATGTGAAGACACCGGTAAGCCACAAGCCACGAGGCAAGGTATAGATTTATGGAAATGGATTAATTTAAGCTATAAGAACAGTTAGCAAGAAGCCTGCCACGGCCATACAGTTTGTAAGCAATATAGGTCTCTGTGTTTACTTGGTTGGGTCTGAGCAGCTGTAAGACTGGTGAGTGACAAAGATTTGTCCTGACTGTGGGCATGGCAGGAAAACTCTAGCTACACTCCCCCATCTCCCACCTACTCCCAACCCCATCCTCTCCTCCATCTCCATTCAGAAAGGGACAAATGTCCCATGGGTGTCAACAAAGCATGGTACATCAAACTGAGGTAACTCCTCCTGCATCGAGGCTGGGTAAGGCAACCCAGTGTGGGGAATAGGTTCCCAAAAGCCAAGAGAGCTAGCTCTAAAGAGGTTCTGACACTTGGGAATTGCACATATCTACAAATGATGGCTGAAAATGCCCCATTTCATAGAGAAGGTCTGGCAATTTGTTCTTTGTCATTGCTAATCCTTTTTGTTATTGATGCTTCCAAAAACAGAACTTTGGTTCTAGAAGTCCTGAGAAGGTACTGAAACTTTACTATGAGACCCATATGGAATATTCAGTGCCAAAAAAAGTACTGCCTGCCCCAGAGGGAAAGTCAACACCTGCCAGGATATAACTTAGTGAGCCAGAACTCTTACAATGTGAGTCATAGGAACTTTTGAAAAGAGGTGATGTTCTTTCTTTACTTATGTCTTGAGAGACCTGAGTCCAGCCAAAGAAAGGAGGCCATCCCAGACCTCTTTTTTTTTTTTTTTTTTTTTTTTTTTTTTTGGTTTTTTGAGACAGGGTTTCTCTGTGTAGCTTCATGCCTTTCCTGGAACTCGCTTTGTAGACCAGGCTGGCCTCGAACTCACAGAGATCCACCTGCCTCTGCCTCTCGAGTCCTGGGATTAAAGGTGTGTGCCACCACCGCCCGGCAATCTCAGACCTTTACAGATACAGCAAAATGTGGACACGTGCTGGTTAGAGTCAGAAGTACCCAGCACAGTCAGTCCCCAAGCATTACACGTAGATACAGGTCCAGGCTAACAGCAGGAATGTGGACATATGCTGGTTAGAATCAGAAGTACCTAACACAATCTCCAAGCATTACCTGTGGATTCAGATGCAGGCTAAAGGCACACTTCACCATGGGGACAAGGCCTCAGTCTTATTCAAAAGAAGAGTGTGGTTCAGATATGCCAGTCCAATTTGCTGCTAGGATTGGAGGCTGTGACCATCTCTCCAGAGCCCCACGTAGAAACCAAACTTTCTGAGCTGTAATGATCCAGGCCACAAGAGGGCACCAATGGCCACCGAACAGGCACATCCCTTATGGCCCTGAGGCACTTCCTTTTCTCCCTCACCTTTTCAGATTCGCTAGTCCCTGTACTCTAGGGTGCAAATGCCCGCCCCTCTGTAGAACCCCATGAGGGGATTGCTCTGACATGACCAGTTAGGATGCCAGCAGAGTGCAGTGTGGGGCGGCACACTGCTGGGGCTAAGAAGCTGGACTTAAGGAGTGCGCTCGAGGTTGGATGCCTCAAGTCTGCACACTTTCAAGGTCGGCACCATCTTCCAGAGGCCTACACCAGAATGCCTGTTCCTGCTGTGAGATAGGTGCAATGCTGAGGCGCAATTAAACATTCCTCGGGAACAACAAGCCCAGAGCAGAGACAACTGCCTTCCTCCATGCGGCGCTGCAGCTCTAGAATAAATAGACACCAAATCAAGCGGCTCCAATTCTCCTGAAAGACCCTAGCCCTTAAGGCTTACACCCCCAAGCCTCAGGAAAAGAGAAACTTCAAGCACCAGGAAATGAGAAACTAAAAATCTAGTTCCAAGGGCAACCTGACTTAGCCATTGTTCAATCTCCCCTGCAACCATATAACAATGTAAAAAGATTTCTGTTAAGAGGTGTGTTCGACTGTGACTGGGATAGTTGCAGGTGTTCCAGGAAGGACCACCGTGACCTGTGTGTAAACTCCACTCCTGCTCTGATACCCCCCCTTGAGGTTTCAGGAAGAATGTACCTGCTGATGTAACTGTACCCCCTCTGTGATCACTCTGTGATCAGACCATGATCTTGTGAAATGAAATTGTATGGGAATTGTAATCTTGTGGGTTTTGTGGGGGTTTTCCTTTAAAAGCCTTCATGGGGCTGCAGTAAGATGTGGCTCTTGCTCTTAGGAGCAGAGTTTGCCCTTCCATATAGAAGCTTAATAAAATCCTCATGCTGTTTCATCAACTGGACTGGAGTCTGGGTTCTTGGGGCGCCCACTTGAGACCCTAAATCTTGGGGTCCATCACTCCCTTATCAAAATGCTCATTCTTCCCACACATCTTTAATTTGTCTTTTTCTGAGTTATTGTCTCCTCTAGTGTCCTGTCCAGAAACTACCTTACACTAAAACCTAGAGCCAGTATAAATCTTTCAGCATCTGACTGTGGAACAACCCTATGAAGGCTCATCTGTACACTGAGGCACGGGAAACAAGCGTGGCTAGACTCGGATCAGGGCCCCCTCTGCCTCCCTGCTTGCTTGTTCTCCCCAAATCGCCTGTCAGGGTCCTTTTGCTCCATCCAGGACAGGAGGTGAATGGACAGTTTTGACTGGGGGAGGTGGTACCAAGTGTGGAAGGAACTCCTTGTGATGATAGAGAGGAGACCCAGAGGGAGGAGTTTGGAGCCCAGGAAATGCACTTTAGGGTTAGACCTAAGCAAGTAGGGCTGTAAGGACTAAGGTAGGAGGCAGAACCTGCAGCATCCTGTGCCTAGCTGGGAAAATGACTCCTCCTTGGGCAGTATTGCTGGTTCTCTGGGGTTTCCAAGCCCAGGGAGCTCATACATAGTGTTCTGAAAAGAATGAACCCTACGTTGATAAGCCAGTCAGTGACCCTGACATAGTGAAGTTTGCTTTGAGTACATTCAACAATCAGAGCAAGGACGAGTATGCCTACAGAGTGGTTCACGACACTTGTGTTGTTTCCTGATGAAGCAGGCAAGACAGCTAAGTTAGTCTAGGTTAGACATCTGTAGTCTGGGGTTGAGTTACATATAATAAATCAGTTGGTTTCAGTGGTTAGAATGCTTTTTAACTTTTACTGTCATTTAAATTATGTCTACTTACATAAAAATTACTACTCAACATTATGTTTTATTATAGTACTTAATTAACTAAGGAATGAACTTTAGGTAGGTCGTGGTGGTATACAACTGTGGTTTTAGCAGTTTGGAAGCTGGGACAGGAGGATCTGGATTTATATGTCAAAATAATAATAATAATTAATAATAATAATCACTTTAGTTTTGTTTTTGTTTTTCCAGAGCTGAGGACTGAACCCAGGGCCTTGCGCTTGCTAGGCAAGCCCTCTACCACTGAGCTAAATCCCCAACCCCGAATAATCACTTTAGAATAGATATTTCTAGGGAGATATTTCTACTGAGCAAAAAAAATATTTATATAAAAATTCCACAGACAAAGACTGAAAATATGTCAAAAACACATTTTAAAGTTTTTGCTAGTGTATATTTATTATGCACAATAATAGGCTTTTTATGACAGTTCATAAATGCATATAGTGCATTTTCATAGGCTTCCCCTCCCATTACTCTCTCTGTCCCTCTTGTCCCCCTCCCACTCTTGCTTATTTCTTTCCTCTTTCCAACTCATACCTTTCTACTTGTCTATCTCTTTTCATTGTTAATCATATGAGTTTAATTAATTAGAGTTACTTACAGGAACATGGCCGCCAGGTTTTATTTAGAGGCGCATGGGCAACTTACAATGACGTTCAAATATTAAAGCAATAGGAGCTCTGGGGAGATGGCTCGGCCAGTAACGTGCTTGCCACACAAACATGAGGACCAGAGTTTGGACCCCCATCACCCATGCAAAAAGCCCGACTCTGGGATGCAGACCTGTAAATCCTGGTGCTGAGAAGGCAGAAACAGGAAGGTCTGGAGAGAGCATGCTTTTGACCAGCCTAATCTGAGCTTCGGTTTCAGTAAGATATCCTGTGTCAAAAAGTAAAGACAGGAGCTGCTGAGGAAAACTCCTGGTGTTACTCTAGGCTCCATGCACTCACATGCACGCAAACAAGCAACTGGAAACCCTGAGAGAGTGGATGGAAGAGAAACAGAAGAGTAGGCATTGAGGACTTGCCAACTGTCTTGTGGCCAGAGACAAGCTGATTGTCCTGAGAGTGACCTACCAACTCAGCTCCATATCTTAGTTTCCTCCTACTCTGGACCCCTGGCAGACTTCACTCAGCTCATTGATCACATCAAACCATCTTCTTCATCCTAAAATGCTCCCTGGTAATGGGATACCTACAGAATGTCTTCAAGATGTCAATACCTATCTCCTAATATCACCCTGTAATCATGGGTGAGGAATACTTTGTTCCTCTTTTCTCAGCAGAGGAAAGGCAGAAGGGTTTCAGCCCTGCACAGTGCTGGGACCTCTGGGGATCTCTGCAGAGCACTAGTTGACCCTGTTGTCTGAGCTTATTTTGGGGGCTAGAGTCTCACCTGTGAGCTATGGCTATGGTTTTGCTAGAGCCAGGGTTGGCCTTGTGGGAAGAAAGGTTGAGAAAGGATGAGACTATGAGAAGAATGAGGGAAAGAAAGTGGAAGAAAGCAGGAGGAAGATTTCAGAGCACACACTATAAAAACTTATCCATAAAGCCACCATTCCAATCCTGTGTGCTGGTGCACAGTGACTGAAGTATCTTCTTGATGTAGGTCAGGTGACAATTGTGACAGTATACTGCAGATCTGGCTTCATCTCTTTGGATTGAGTGTGGTGATATATTGTGTATCAAATAAAACTTGCCTGAGGATCAGAGGACAGAGCAAACTACAAGATTAAACACAGAAGCCTGGCAATAGTGGCACACACCTTTACTCCTAGTCCTAGCATTCAGGAGACAGAAATCCATCTGGATCTCTGTGAGTTCAAAGCCACCCAGGACTACATGAGATTGATTCAGTCTAGGAGAGAAACAGAGCTAGGCAGTGGTGGCACACACCTTTAATCCCAGTCTTGGGAGCCACACACCTTTAATCTCAACACTTGAGATCTCATGGCCTTTGCTAACAGTATTTAGGAAGCACACACACCATTACTCCCGGCACTATGAAGGGCGTGTAATGACTTGGCGGAGAAAGGCATATAAGGCATGAGGAGACAGGAAGTAGGCAGCTTTCAGCTGAGGACTCAAAGGCTTTCAGTGAGAGGATTCATGGAGATAGAATCTTGGCTCCCTTTCAGTCAGAGGATTAGTGGAGTTGGTGAAGCAAGAAGTTTCTCTAGTGGCTTGTTCCTTTGTCTCTCTAATCTTTCAATATTTACCCCAATATCTGGCTCCAGGTTTTTATTATAAGACCATTTAGATTTCATGCAAAATCCAGCATCTAACTTTTGGGGTACAAACCCACACCCTGGAATTAAGAGTCCCATGAGCAGAACCACAACCCTCCCAGAGCCTGCCCTCTAGAAATGCAGGTGTTGGTGAAAGCAGCTATTGAGAGTAAAGCCTAGGCCTGACTTGGTAGAGCAGAATATGGAGACTTGAGGTAGATGATGTACTAGTGGTTTATGACTCAGTCTGTGGCTTCCTCTAGCAGACTTCCTCTACCAGACTGCCACCTCCTAACTCTTAACTCTCCAAACTAGAGACCATCCTTTTAACTTTCACCTCCAAGAAAGAGATGCCAGGCCTTGGAGAAGCTCCAAACTCAGGAGAGAGTTTGAGTCCCTCCCCATATTGACCACAGACATGATGAGGCCCATCTGTGAACAGGCAGCAAGAAGAGTCTGCTCACTTCAGTCTTTTTCTGTCTTCAGTAAAAACTACCAGCAACATTCTTCATGAAGCTGAGGCTGAGAAGGACCATCTTTAAGAAATTCGAGGAAAGTCTAGACATTTGCCCCTTTTAGGACAATCTTGAACTGAAAAATGTAAGGCAGGACACCAGCATCCACCTTTTTCACAGTTGTGGGTGCTGACAGAGGATGCGGGGGGGGGGGTACAAGAGCAGGTGACAGAGCTATGCTTAGAGACCAAAGGAGGTACCAGTGGCAAACTTCCCAGAATTCCTTCCTAAGCCTTAATGGGGAAAGAGTCCCAAAAGGCAGGCAGCCTAACTGCAAGCTACAGAGACCTGGTCAACCTGTGCCCCCAAATCTGTCCACTCCCAATAGCAGCTGCCTGCTCCTTGAGTGTCATGACCTCATAAATCCCATGTCTTCTTTGATCCTGAATCCTGGACCTGAGTAGCAACTGCTCATTGGTCATCCTCCTCTTCCCCTTGAATCTGGGTGAAGAGCCTAGTGAATTCTGATGTTATATGTTAGAGACCCTTCACAGATACACAGCTCGAAAAGGGAGTGAGAGAAGGGGCCCTACTGTCTTCACTACTGGAACTATGTCCTGCAGAAGCTCCAGTATATTTTCTGAGGAACAAGAAAAAGGGCAGCCTAATTCTTGGGACAATCCCCCAGGGCTAGTAGACCCCTATAAAGAATAATTAATAACTTAACTAATGACTTAAGTCTGACAGTAATCAACTCCTTCTGGAACAGACATCCCCTGCTATTCCTGGGAGCTTGCATCACACAGTGACAGTCCAAATGTTCTTCTAGGGGACATTTATTGGGTAAGGACAAAAACACAAATGCCTCTGGATCAAGAGGAAGCCCAGATAAAGACAGCTCACCACTCAAGCAGAGTTAGTGGTTACACCTCTAGACCAAAGACCAAAGTCTTCCAACTGCTGGCCAAGAAAGGGATAAGGTTGATTAGACATTGTCCTGACCATAAACCACAGGCTTCCTGAGCCTCTTTCATCCCCTGTCTCATTTTGATTGTTCCCTTAGACCTTTATCTACTCTTTCACCATCAGCATCCCACTCTCAAAACAGTTCAAGAATGACTTGTTCTATGGGACTTCTCTGACTGGGATCCACCCCAAAGATCTACCCACAGGCCTGCTCCTTTTTATGAGGATGCCTGTCACTCATAGGAAGCAGCAATTACTGGCTTAAGAAGCTCTGTGATTCTTGCAAGTGTCATGTCCTGGCATTTTAGAAAATTCTCTTTGTACATATTCATCATATAGAATAGATCATTAAACACCAGCATGTAATAACCTTTGTGGGCTATGGGCATGAGGGTGGAAGTTAAGCACTTAAAGGAGTTATCTCAGCAGGATAGCCTGGGGACCCTTCATTTTTATAGACCTTAAGAGATGTCCCAGATAGCATAACTAGACCCATCTGAGCTGTGGTCTTATGACCTGACCCATGTGGCCAGAGATAAAATGATTGTTAGCATCTACCTCTACCAAGGCATCCCACGTACACCATAGAGAAAGGCCAACCCCAAGCCCTTGTCAGCACAGATGGTCTTTGCTCTTTAGGAGATTTCCTCACATAGCTTTCCCCAGTTCTCTAAAGTTGATAGATGAAGGGAAGATTGTAGTCTCACTGTCCAGAAGGAGGTCCCCCCACGAAAAACAGCAGCAGAATCTTCCTGGCACCACTTAAAAATGAGGACAACCCTAGGAACATCTGCCCTTGGAAAAGGAGCCACATCTCATAATCTTCAGGGGACACATTATACTTAATATTTGAGTAACACTGATGAACCTGAGACCACTACATCTGATCTGGACCACTTGAGTAAGGGCCCAGCATGCATTCCAAAGGAGCTATAGAATTCTGACCTTTTGAAGTAGCTGATATCCTTGCCAACTATCTTCATGTTACTTTTGTTTCTTGGGAATCATAGGCTATGTGAAAACTGATGAAAGTGGCCGTGTTCCAATAAGACTGTTGAGAAGTGGTGACTGGTTTGGCCTTTGGCCATAGCTGTGCCTGTTTGCAAGTGCTGATCCCATGTAAAGCACCTGTACCTGAGACATGAAATAATATCTTTGGGGGAAGATATAATCATTTCAATGACAAATACAGCAGCTATAGATGCCTTCCCTGGGTCTACACAGGTGCAAGCCCATCAGCCCCAGGCATGGACAGAAGGACTCAGAGGTCCTACTCCTCACTGATGAACTATTAGGAGATGAAGAATAATTGCCTTTAGTTGTGTACCTACTGATGACCTTATTAGACTCCAATAGATAGTTGCAACCCAATTGTCATACAAATGTCCCTGGTTAAACTAGATGGGTCACAAAATGAAACCAGAAGTCATGAATCTGATAAAAAGGTGGGGATAGTGGAAAGGTGGAGGGTTGACAGGGATGAGAGGAAGAAAAGGACAAAGAAATCAGAATACACCAAACACATGTATAAAAATTTCCAAATAACAAAATCAATAAAAAGGAAAAATATTGTAATCTACTCTATCAACAAAATAAAAACCAGAAATTACCTCAATACATTCAATGAGGTTAAACCACCTTGAAAATAAAGCTTTTCAGAGATTAAATAAACAAACAAATGAATAAATAAATAAATAAATAAATAAATAAATAAATAAATAAATAAGTAAATGCCTAGCACATCATGCCATACCAAGTCTAAATACTGCAATTGCCTAGAACCTTCTATTACACCCTAACAAACACTTAGGCCCACCTTACACATAGTGGACATATAATCAAATACTTAGTCATTGCAAATTCAGTATATCTTCAGCTTTCTTCCCCTTTCAGTCTGTAAAATCTTGTTGGTCATGATGATTATGCTAGCTAGTTTTTTGTTAACTTGACAGAAGCTAGAGTCATTTGAAATGAGGGGACCTTAGTTTAGAAAATGTTCCCATAAGATCCAGCTGTAAGGCATTTTCTAAATTAATGATTGATGGGGGAGGATTCAACTCATTGTGAATGATGCCATCACTGGGCTGGTGGTCTTGGGTTTTATAAGAAAGCAGCATAAAGCCGGGCGGTGGTGGAGCACGCCTTTAATCCCAGCACTTGGGAGGCAGAGGCAGGCGGATCTCTGTGAGTTCGAGGCCAGCCTGGGCTACCAAGTGAGTTCCAGGAAAAAGGCGCAAAGCTACACAGAGAAACCCTGTCTTGAAAAACCAAAAAAAAAAAAAAAAAGCAGGATGAGCAAGCCAATATGCAGCACCCATCCACGGCCTCTACAGCTCCTCTTTCTGGTTCCTTCCCTGTTAGAGTTCCTGCCTTGACAGAAACTTTAATGGACTGTGACATTGGATATGTAATCCAAATAAACCATTTCCTCTCCAAGTTGCTTTTGGTCATGACATTTCATCTCAGCAATAGTAACCCTAATCAAGACAATGCTGGACCACAGCTTTGTCATTGAACATTACCTGATGCATATACATATATTCTTCCTTGCCCAAACGAAGGCTATGCATTTATTTTTGTCTAAACGTTTTCTTTGTCTTAGTTTTTGTCAGTTTTGAATTATCTTGCAGGAATTATTTTAAGTAACAGAATTGCCCAGGACTACCAAGAGTCAGGAATCCCTGAACTGAGACAGTGCATCACTGGTAATTATAGTGAGAACTGGCAATGAGCTGGCATTTGAGCAAGTCCCAGAGCCACCCAGAGGGCTCTTATGAAGGTTTTGGCAACCATGATTAAGAGTTACCTAAGCCACAGCATCCTCATGTCAATAACACATCTTGTTGAAACACAGCCACTCTTCCTTGATCATGATCTATAACTGCATTCTACATATGAGGTCAGCTTAGGGAGATGAGAGGGACACCAAATGTTGACAAACTTTGCTAAGCCATAGTCTGAGGTGGGGCCGGGTCACTAGTTTACTAGTTGTTGGAAAGTACCACAGTTCATACTGCAAGCAAATATGGACTCTGTGCTGTGGGGGTCCTTTCTGGGCTTATCTTGCATATTCTTAAGTCTGGGTGATCACAGATGCATGACAGTACTAGATCTTGCTGCTGAGGTCTGTTGTCCTTGGTGCTGCCTTGGACACTCTCAAAGTTCCTGTGGCTGTAGAAAGCTTTTTCTTCATCACAGAACCACAAGGACCCTAAGCAACTGGTGACAATTCAGGAATCGTGTTGTTAGGGCTAGAGAGGTGGCTCAGTGGTTAAGAGTACTGGCTACTCCTCTAGAGGAACTGGGTTCTATTCTCAACATCCACATGGTGTCTCACAGTCATTTGTAACTCTAGTCCTGTGAGATCCAAAGCCCTTTTCTGGCCTGCCCAGGCACCAGGCACACAGAATGTTATACAGATATACATGCAGGTAAAACCCATACATATAAAAATAAATGTAGCAAAACAAAAACAACAATAAAGGAACATGCTGTCCTTGAGGCATATGTGGTGTTCTCTTGGCCTGAGGTCCTGGTAATGGTGAGGAGTTTATTGGCTATGACTGAAGATGTTTTGGTGACACAGCTGGCCTGGTGGAGCACTATTTCTGACTCACAGGTGATGAAGATACACAAAGATTAGCCAGCTTGTTGTTGCTTTGACACAATAACTAAGCAAGTCAACTTCAAAGAGAAAAAAATTATTTGAACTTAGAGTTTTGAAGGTTTGGGTCCACAGTTTTGTTTTTGTTTTTTGTATTTGTGGGATTTTGATAAGGTAGTACATCACAGTACTTGTGTCTAAACAGGAGTTTGTGTCTAAACAATGCCTCTAAATTAAAAGGAAGTTAGAACACAAAAAGAAAACAAAAAGTTGATGCCCAGATAGCTCTTAAAAGTAAGTATTCCTATGACTTAGCTTTCATCAGTAGGTTTCACCTCTTAAAGGTTCTACCACCTCCTCACCTAAGCTTGGGACGAGCAAGGTAGAACAGGTGATGGTCTGATTACTGGCCTGAAAAGCTGGGCCTAGTCTGTGTCCATATGGTCATTCTGGAATCAAACCCACTGATATGGTTGGACAATGGAATCTACTAGGGTAGGCCCAGCCCCTATCTGCTGGAACATGATTAGACCTATGATTCTGGTTCTTCTAGGGCCAGAGTAAAGCTTAGATCATGAGCAACAGCCTAGAAATTGAGAAAGATTTGTAACCAAGATCACTAGGGCCAACCTGGTTGACATGATTGGCTAGATTCTTCGTGGGTTGTCCTAGACTCTATAGCCAATAAAAACCATCCTTACTCAGAGTGGGGTTAGAGTTCCAGACTGTGAACCAGTTTGGTACTGAGGTTGGTGTGTAGTATATCCTGGCTGTACTTGGGAGTCACCAAGACAAATCTAGTATTGGCATCCCAAACAGACTCTAGTCTTTTTTTTTAATCACTGGAGAGAATGTCTGTTTCCTGAACATGGGGGCAGTTGAAAAAGGTGATGTAAAACTGTCCTTCCTGGTCAGTGTGTCTTCTTTTATTTCTGTGTTTACCCTAGGTATTGAAACCTCACTTGATTTTTGAGAGTTTGTGAGGATATGTTCATGTGTAAATACTTGCTCAAATTGAGGTTTATATAGATCAATACTATCAAGTCCTCTCCCACCAGCTAGCTGATGTCATGCAGACATTATTTTAAGATTCATTTTATTTTTAATGGTGTGTATAGGAGGTATGTGCAGATGTGGGTACAGGTGCCCACAGAATCCAGAAGGGGGCCCTGGCTCCAACCCACAGCACAATGATTTTTAGTAAGCATTTAAATGACCTTGTTACTAATCTTGGCAACTGAGTTGTTCAAATGTTATATTCTTAACTATTTTATGAACACCTTGACAGATTAAGAAATTAAGGAATCAGCAATTCTTTAACAAATCTAAGCCCTACTGGTTCCTTTTGTCACCAGGGAAGCAAGAAAGTCACTCTCTGGAGATCGGAGGCTGCACACATATGCTGGGGTAAGAGAGGCAGACGCTCTACCTGGGCCCTGTCTTGGATATTTGATACCCTAGGGGACCACAGCCATTGTGCTTCTGGACTTGTGTGACAACAATTCTCATACATCTTACTTATTTATGTCTCTTCTGTTGCCCTCCCCCCACCCACCCCCACCCCCGCCACCT